AGTAGAAAATCAACATTTCCCAGAAAGCTGGAAATTCGTCGAGGAATTTCTATAAACTAGAAAATCCCCGGCGATTTTTCGGTTGATTTTCTATAAACTAGAAATTAATTCAAGATTACAGTGTAGTGTGTTTTCACCATACTAAACGGTGTTGTTTAGTGAAAAGAGACGTCCTATATTTGTTCTATATTATTAGAGAAGTCCTATATAAATTCTTTTTTCAAATCCTGTATTTTCCTATATTTCCAGGAAGGGCCGGTACGAATCCAGGTTTCCAGTATTTTGTAGAAAAGGCTTTACTCTATCTCACATGTATTTTATGCTAAAAATCTCGGTTTTTCCGGTCATGGATTTTTAATTGTAACATCATGACTAGATAACCCAAAGTGTTCTCCACAATTCTGTGCAAGGCCATAGTTCGTTATCATTTCGTCGGGTAAATGCCTGCCATTCGACAATCACAACCGATAGAGAGATCGGCCATGGTTAGCAGTGTAAAGAACACTTTGGGCTATCTAGCCACCATGTTACCATCTTCCAAATTCAACCATCCTCTTCAAAGATGTGTACAGCCACTCCTCAATTGCAGTGTGAAACTCTTCTCAAAGATCCTGCAATAACTAAGCATGATGGAGCAGAAGTCTTGTTACAAAAATTGTGCGTAATGGTCGACTGCGGCGGACAATGTTGATTATTTTTCAGAGTTAATTAAAAATTCAGAAAAAAATTAAATTTAAATTTTCTTTAGTTTTAGATTTTAAAAGAATTTAAATTTTAAACATATGGAAGGAAATTTCAAAAATCAGACGAGGTTAGACCCCCTGCAGTCAGCCATTGTATACATTTCTTGTACCAAAAGTATTTTTCCACCATTGCAGCATTTTTGGCAAATTCTTTTCCAAAATACTTTTTCATTTCTCAGCAAAATACATGGAAAAGAAAATTTTGCAATCACTTTTTTAACGTTTGTGACCCCATGAAGGGGGGTTATTGTGCCCATCGAACTGTACAACATATTTAAATATCAGGGAGTGGGGTGGACCTCTTAAAGCAGCTAAAATCGTATCGAAGGTCTTGCGGTGAATTTCCTGTTTACTGCGGACTGCTTCTGGCAGGTTATTTTCTTTCTCTCTCTCTGTCTCCAGTATTGATATTTCTTTTCATCCATTGAATGACATTTTTCTTTACATAGAAAATTTTCGTAAAAAAAAGAAATGACGCCAGCGAAAAATCTATGGAAACGAGTACGTGGACAACATATTTTTCTTCCACTTGTGGACCTTATGGCGCCGAGTCTGTACCATTAATCGGAAAACTGTTATGTATTGATCCAGGCTCAGTCCCAGAGGGTGTCCTTCCGTTTTCAGAACTTTTGTACGTAGTAGCCTAGTCCCTTAGATCATTCGGCACACATTTTACAGTAATAGATACCTATTTCAGCACCAGTTCCCTAGAACTGCTCAGAACAGGAGCTATTAAAAAATGGAACTGTCGAGAACTATTGCAAAACGATTTTGAAATGTGTAGGTAAAAACGCAAAACTCTTTGGAACGCTTTTTTTGAAGCTCGAATTTACGGACTATAAGTAATCGATTATAGAATTCATACATGGACTGACTGCTCCTGTGATTCACATAACTCACTGACGAACTCTATGAAGCCTTATAAATTTCCACTGATTTTTGAACTTCTTACCATCAACCTGATGGTAAACGTGGGCACACTAACAGAAGCAGTGAGTGCTCTTCCAGATAGTCCATCAGAAATAACAGCCGAATCATTAACTTCAGTAGTGTTAACAGAAGCAGTTATCTTGTCGTCTGCTAATACTATGGAAGCTACGATTGAACCATTAGCACCTGCTGCAACAGGATCCAGTCGTGTTCCACAGTCCTCTGTTGCAACATATGGTAGATCTGAATGTGACACAATCAGTGGACAGAGACTAAGAATTAACAACGTAGTGATGATTCGTGGATACTTTGAATAAATGTTACGACAAGTGTATCAATAGATATATACAACATCTTTGTGAACGAACATCTTTTTTTATATGGTGTAAATCTAGGTTTTGCTTCAAATTCAATAACAGAACAATAATAACCTCATTATTTCTTGCATTCGTGTTTTAGACAGTTTTGGCATCGTTGTTGAGAGACCCTCAATCATAGAACTGGGAAGCTGAAAATCACTTTTCAAGGTCAATTTCGTTAATCACAAACGTTAATAGCGATACTTAAATAATAAAATAATAAAATTCAATAATAAAATGCATTTTTGCATTTCTACTTCAAGTTATTGGGAGTGTTGAATTTAAGGCTTGATATGGCCTCAAACTGTAAAAAGAAATAGTTTGTTTGAAAACCGGTTTGTGATGGAAAATATTTGAAAAATACTAGAAGGATCTTAAATTTCGACAATCCGTATTACGGAGGCAAATATCAAAAAATTTTCTTCTGTTTCATTCATCGTTAAGAAATCATTAATTTCTTGTCTGGATCGAATTTCTACGTGTGAACAAGCTATTCAAGAAGCCGGTGTTCAAGATTGGATGACAGTTGATAAAGCTGAATGTATGGCATCATGTTTCGCTCCAAATGTCTAGCTCCTTTACCTCACCTGCGACCTTCTGGGCCACCATTAATCGGATAAGACAAGGTAATACTAGTCTACCAGCAACAATTACTAATGGGACTACGTCTGCCTCAACTGATCAGGAAAAAGCGGACCTCTTCAGTCAATATTTTTCTAGCTACGTTACCTCAACATCAGGTCCCATGCCAACACCCCAATTCAACTTTCAACCCACAACTACTCTAAATTTCACGTGTCTCTCTAAGGAGGCAATAGTTTTAACTATTAGCAACTTGCGTAATAACATCGCTTGTGGTCCAGACGGTTGTGCTAAAAAAGAACGTTGCAATTTTTGCACATCAATTGCACCATATTTTTAAGTTATCAGTTAAAACTGGAGATTTTCCATCAAAGTGAAAGTTAGCTTTCTTTAACCCCACTCACAAAAAAAACTCAAAATCAGTTGTGCCTAACTATAGACCAATTTCTTTCTTGTCCATAGTGAGTAAACTATTGGAAAAATTTATTTACGATCAATTGCTTACTCATTTGAGCATAAATAAATTCTTTTCCAATAACCAGTTCGGCTTTTTACCAAAAACATCGACAATTGATGCTTTATTATATTTGTTACATAATCTGACAAATAATCTTAATAAACAGCCACCGGTAGACACCGTCCTAGTCACATTTGATATGGAGAACGTTCTCTATCAAATAATTAATTCTCGTTTGTCAGCGTTAGGTCTATCTCAAACAGCACTACGATGGTTTATGAACTACCTTTCCAACCGTTTTCAGCAAGTAAGAGTTGGCTCTAAACTGTCTATGCCAACTGCCGTAATATCAGGAGTAGTATAGGGCTCCATCGTCAAAATGTGCGTGGATGTTCGTGTCCAATAGTCCTGATAGAGCAAATAATTTCAAATTTACCTTACCAGATGGCTCTAATATAAAGCGCGAGGAAAGCCTTATTTTACTGGGGTTCGAAATAAGTTGTAAACTGAGATGGCGAGTTCATATAGAAAATCTTGTACGAACCTGTCGGCAACGCCTTGGAGCTGTGTACAGACAGTTTAAACAAGCACCCGCTGATATTCGTCTTCAAATCTATAAGAATTGTATCTTCAGTAAGCTAGACTATGCCTGTGCCTTATATGACACCGCTTTCACCGCTCAAGTGTCTCGTCTTGAGTCCGTCCTG